GGGGCACGTAAGCCACAGTACGACATCTGGGGAAACACTGTGAATGTTGCCAGTAGGATGGACACATGTGGAATAATAGGAAACATTCAGGTTGGTTTGCATTTACCATCATGCTTTGCATATCCAATCTTGCTTTACATATCCAATCTTTCGCTTGTGTGATATACTTGCAAAACATTTGGAGATTTTAGGAATTTAAAAACATGGAACTGCAGTTGTGGGTCCATAACAGGTTCTTTGTTAGTATAATTCTGAAAGTTTTTGTACAATATTAGTTTTCAATGGATGTGTTTTTGACCAATTGACAGTCAGATCATTATGTAAAGAATACTTTTACAGACCGTTGCATATATTTCCAAATATTTTTGTCTGTGGACACAACATATTGATCAGATTTTGTTTGATGATTTAAGACACAAATTTAATTTAAGTTTTTAATTTTAGGTCACAGAAGAAACTGCCGGAGTACTAAGGGAGCTAGGATTCACCTGTGAAAGTCGAGGTTATGTGTCCGTGAAGGGAAAAGGAGACTTAAAGGCATACTTGGTAAAAAAGATGAACCGCTCAATATCACAATCAGCTAACCTCAGTTCCGTGTATTAAACCTATATCAGTTATCAGAAATGCAATTAAAGAGATTGCATGATATTCGTGTGTAATGTTACCATTAACTACTACCATGGTGGTATCATAGTAATTTGTGATAACTATATAACAGGGGACACTTTGTAATTACAAGTTGCTTGGTCTAGAGGGCAACAGAGCCAACAAAAAATGTTAGAAATGAACTTTGAATCTTGAAAATTCTCTCAAAAAGAGTATGTAGCCACTAGTTTGAGCATCTTTTCTCAGTCAGCTAAACTGGTGATAGCCAAATTCAGCCGTCTGGTCTCTTGTGTTCTGCTGAGGGCTAAAATACAAGTTCCAATAGTGACCATTGGTCTGGTGTGCAATATGGCCCATGTGAACATTAAAGAATGCAGTAGACTCTTTGAAAAAGAATAAAGATTGTCTCCCAAATCACCACCAGAAGGACCCACTTCAAACAGACTTATTCGGTTATCATGTGAACATTAAAGAATGCAGTAGACTCTTTGAAAAAGAATAAAGATTGTCTCCCGAATCACCACCAAAAGGACCCACTACAAACAGACTTATTCGGTTATCATGTGAACATTAAAGAATGCAGTAGACTCTTTGGAAAAGAATAAAGATTGTCTCCCAAATCACCACCAGAAAGACCACTTCAAACAGACTTGCTTTGTTATCATGTGAACATTAAAGAATGCAGTAGACTCTTTGGAAAAGAATAATGATTGTCTCCAAAATCACCACCAGAAGGACCCACTTATTGGGTTATCTTTTGTGTGTTTCACATTAAAAATACTTCTATCCTATTGTATTCT